AGAGGCGTTTACTAGGACATTTTTCATTCACTGATAAATCCTCAAGCCGGTGCAAAATGAAAAAGTGAGAACTTTTTGGTAGATACAGTCACAGATAATCACAGAGCTGATCAGTTTACTCATTTGCTGAAAAGGAAATACACGTTTAATTGCTTAAACAATAATGGCAGGAGAAGAGGAGTATAACAGTTTTTCTGAAGAAAGACTGAAGCTCCTCATGAAATAAAATTATTTTTCTTTCATCCACCTGGTTTAGAGAGTAACTGTTAAAATAGCGAATTTCTGGAACTAAGACGGTTTAAAAAGCGTTTTTAAACTGATGTTGCTGTGAGACTTTTTAGAAAAATTGCAGGTTTATAAAAGTTCAGTGCTTTAGAGTAAAAAACACTGAGAAGCTTGGTAATCTAGTATCTGTTAAAAATAAGCACATTACAAAGTAACACTGCAGAGAAGCATTTACTTAAATATTCATGAATTGGGGTAAAACCTATGACAGGTGCCATTCCTCTGGATAAGTTGACTTATAACAGTACTTTTGTGTAAACCCAGAGCTAAAATAGTGTGAAACTCAATGACACTTGAATACAAATATTTACCTGTAAAATATCTGAAGCTGGCAACTGTTTTAACCAGATAAAGTGCTACACAGTGAAAACCATGACAGGTGTGATAAAAAAAGATTTTGATCCTTATGAGATGAAGGACTGTTTAGAGAATGCGTTAGCACTGCTGACAGGATCCTTGCATCCATATGAAAAACGGGTGGAGAGCATGAACGACAAAGAGTTATTGGACAATCTGAAGGAGGTTGCAGAGAGTGTGACCTCTACAGAAATTACAAAGTCAAGTTATGATCAGCTGGCTAAAATTGCACTTTTGCTGAAAGAATCATTCTATACAGTTGTTGAGAAAGCTGCTGACCTTGCAATAAGGTTGAACAGCGAAAAAGAGGTGGTTCAGGAAATTGAAGAACACTTCCTTCAATTTAAAAGTGAACACGAGGTCCTCACAAAAAAACATTCTGAACAGATGTTTCAATCACAGCAAGATGCAAATGCAGAAGTTGATTCACTGAACAGCAAAATACAGTTACTTGATGTATCACTGTCTGAAGCCAGGGATGCTAAAGAGCAGTTGTCCAGAGAAT